CTTCTCATCAAGTCTTCTATAAAAGTTTATCCCTGTAGGTCTCAATGTTTTCATATTGCATGCATTTGTGCTCAAATACAAGTTAAAACTTTTTTTAATTTATGTTAAAATATAAATTTTATTTTAGTCTCGTATGTGTTTGTCAACCGAGTGTTGCGACTACAAAGTGAATATAGCAATTTATACGAGTATTGTTCCTCTCCATTATTCTTTCCGTTTGGCTGGGTTGTACGTCGCACCAACCCAGTACAGGTCATATGGCGATTTTCCAGCTAGATGGAGGGGATTACTCATGTGCCCTTCTGTGCATTATTACGGGCACGAACGGGCACATGAATAGAACCACCTACGTTCCGTAAGCTAGCTGGATAGCTTCCTTACATGAAAGAATACAAAGTCACGTTCGGGATTCGGACCCACGGCGGTGAGGGACAAGTGGTTTGAATATTCAACTATCTTAACCACTCGACCAGGGACGCCATTCATACTCATCTTATTTGAATCAAAAGCATATGCAGAAGAAAATTTCAAGAGAGGCTAATCGTTGGAAACAATAATGAATATATAAATGTATACGTGACCAAGCTCATGTGTAATGGAGCTTAAATTTTTAATATAATACGAAATCTGCTTTACTTACCTTTAGACCTATAATGTTATGTAACCAGAATATTATTTTTAATTGAAACGCATTGAAAACTACACACATGTTTGACTAATAAACTATTTCTTTAAAGATTTGTCATTTAAAATAGCTCGATGTATTTGTGTGTTTCTATGAACCGAACAAAAAATAACTTACTGTAAACATGCGGAACAAAGTAATTATATCCTCACAACATTCAAGGACCCTGGATGGGTTTCACAAGTCTCTGTGTATGTCACGTAACAGACAGTAAAAACAGTTAATAAGCATGCTTCAGGAATATTTGCACAATTATAACATGAACAGAACTTTAGTTTCAAAAATATACTAAATACACAGACCTTACATAATCCCTAATATCTAAGAAAAACTACAGTCGTGCTTTCCAAACACGTGCTTGCTTTTTTGTTTTTCTTGATTTCAATTTAGTGCTTGTCTTTGCCAAGATCTATACCTTCTAACAGCAGTTCCATAAGCCCTAGTATTACACATTTCAAGATACATAGAAATATATTTTTAATTAATTGTACTATGATATGAATTTGCCTTTTAAAGTAATTTGCCTTCCGAGTCATGCTCATTTTCATGGAAGTTTTGAACATTATTGTAAAATGAACTAAGAAACTAATTTATACATTGTTAACAGTTCTTAAAATCTATGTAAACGTTATGCTACAATTATAAAGAAATGAAAATTCATTTTAAAACTATGCTAATTTTTACTCGTCTTTTGACATGTTAACTAATGTGTCAAATGCATAAGGTTCTAGTGAGCGAAAGCATTAACTATTTTATTATCAGCTAGGTATGATTTTAATTTAAACGACTGAACATTTGTGACGGGCGTATTATGTAAAAAATAGCACTTGTGTTGTACATGTGGCTCTTTTATAAAATCAAATACAAATACTGTACAAATGTATCGTTGAAGGGAATATTTTAAGATTTTAGGTCAAACTGCTTCATTTATAACCAAACTGATTAAATGATATTAGGTTGGGAATAAATCAAGTCAACTAAGGCGACTTGAGCTTAAATGTTGAATGACTAATCATTCTTCCGCTTAAAGGTAAATATTGTGGTGCGCATAAATTAATGAGGTATTTTAATTTTGCTTTCAGGTACGTCTGTACTTTAATTTATGGATCAATGTTAAAATATCCTCTGGTAAAGCTTATTTTTGATATATAAAAGATGCATGTGTTTATTACGGAACACGAATATATTGCATGCTTATGATTTGCTCTCAGAAAAGAATGAATGTACATATCTTAAGTAAAATATTACTGAACAAATCAAAAAATAAAATACATATAACACGGATTGTTGCAAATCTATGCAAGTACAATTAAGATAACTCTTGTTAGTTGTATGTCTTTTATCCCCGAATTTAAGCAACGTGTAACAGATCATTTATTACAAAACTGAATTCTGACATTAATGGTAGCCCAGTTTTGAATTTGTATAATAAAGAGTGGGTTTGGGTATGAATAATATATTGCACCAGGAAATCTAAGAACTTATAAAAGTAGAATATGTATGTCTTCACACAAACAGAATTCCTAGAAATGAACGATATTGTATGTATTATAACCTTCGTGATATCGGAGATGAATACCATTTTATATCAGTATGTACTTGTTTTCTTGAAATTTGTAAAAAATGTATTAAGATTTACCAAGTATGCTCAAATTTATTGAATAGATGAATTGTGATAGTAAGAAAATACATGTATTGTCTAATGTGGCTTACTATATCAGAGATGCTATGGCAAATAGAACATCCATGTCTTGTAATATGTAATTATGAATGGTTAATCCTCTATGTAGGAAGTATGCGAATATCTAGTCCCATGCAAACGTACATAGAAGTTAATTGTCACATATATGTGTAATGTACGAATATTAGTTGTCATGTAATTGTATATAGTCATTATATATGTATTATTGATACATTGCAATTCTTTGTGTATTATATGTACATAATAGGTTAAGTAACACTATGATTATAAAGGCTATAAATTTGTAAGTTTCAAATCATACACTGGTCTTACTTGTATCAAGTTGGAAACATTATATGTGTTGAAAAGTATAGTTTAGAAGTAACATTTGTTTTGTTTTGTTTGTATAATTTCAATATTTTGTGCTATATTACTATTGCAATAAATCAAAACCATATAGCTTAGATTAGTAAATGTACTACAAAGACCAGTGTATGGAAGATAATTTTAAGTATACTATGTAATAGATGCTGACAATGTCTCTCCCGTGATTGCAAGCCTAATACATATACACGAAGTATTCTTAATATTATATATTTGAATGTAGTATCTCTCAAAAAGTAAATTACTTGTAAATTAAATATATAATCAATGGTAACCATTAATAATGAAAGAAAAGAAATACTTGCAGTCACGTCATCTTGCTATGTTATTAGTAATTTACTTATGCATACATGTAATTGTATATATTATGAAAGCTTGTACATTACTCTTTTGGGAGTTAATTTGCAAAATAAAGATTCTTCTTCTTTCATGTTGTATTCTCTATCTATATTTTTATTGTTAACAGTATGTATGTTAAGATTTATAGCTATATCTATGTACACAAAATGCCATGTGACTATTGTATAGTATATTTAAATTGTACAAATTGTAAGACGATATACTCGTACCATGTACAAGTCTTGAATAAATTTTCTATTTGATACTTCACGTTGTGTTGCTATGGCAATAATATGTTTTTTTGTGATATTTGGCAGTATGTAATACAACTAAATAACCCTCTTCCTCTTTAAGTTGAACAATAAAGAATTTAAGAAAATGATATGATGTTGTTTTTTGGCCGAAGGCCGGTCTGTTTTCAGTTTGATTCCCTGTAAAATTTACAGGAAAGAACTGAATATAAGAAAAAAATTCATTAGTCATTCTAAAATTACAAAATGAAATCTGTAAATCTCACTGGCCATTTTAATATAAAATGTAAAGGATAGTTCTAAACTAAAATGTAGAGTTCTTGCTGTTATGAAATAAAATGTAAAGGATATTTCTAAATAAAATGTACATGACAGTTCTTTAACCTTTAGAAATATGCTCAGATATTAGAGTTCTGTTTAACAATACTTCTTGCATTCAGATCGCATTACATTTTCTAGTGAACAGTTTATTTTACGTAAAAAATTACAGACGTTATTTTATATGAATTCTTAGTCTTAAATTTTGACCAAAATAATAAAAACAATATCAGAACCTAACAATATCAATAAAGAATATCCAGTAGTGTATTCATTTCGAAATACACCGTTTATATTGTTTGGAAATATTGACCTGATACATTTGAATATTCAATGCCCTTTTGTCGGTAATTGTATACTGATTAAAAAAAAGAAATGGGGAAAAAGTTTTGTTTAGGATTCGAACTTGCAACTTCGCGATGACTAAAATTAGGCCTGCGGGATAAGTTAGTATTAAATGAAGTACGACATCTTTCCTTATTAGAAAATTCAATATGTAGATCGTTAAAAATTTACGGCAAACTAATGAAAATTTTACGTAAAAACAAATACAGTACGTGAACGAAATAGAATAAGGGATGTAACCTATGCTATAAATTTTAGTAATATTGGTTAAATTTATTTCCCTTTTAAAATCTAATACACAGATTTTAACACTTATTTGGCCTATCAAACTAACAGATCGGCCTTCCTGGATAACTAACGATTGACTACCAATTTCTCCACGAGTGACCAATTACTAATCTCACATGATTTCTTAGTAAGTAACTAAGGTTATCTTGCCGTGCAGTTTCAAGATTCATTTAGCTGGTCAATTTAATCTGCAAATTGTCAAGATATTTAAAAAAAACTCCAATTGTCAATGCACAGCACAGCTCTTAAGCAAGACATAAACAGAGAAGGATCAAAGCTTTATGGGTCGGAGCTCATTATCTTTAGGAAGTCATCTGTTCATCAAGAAGCGAAAACGTTTTATTGAAATTAAATTTGTTTGAAGCATTTGGCTTTATAAAATAACTGATTAAAAATGTAAATTGACATGGCATAGAAACAATCATTGAGATCTTTGTAGCCAGTAACTTGTTCAATGTTTTCCAATTAACAAGCAACATATTATCTATCTCGGCCTCCGTGGTCGAGGGGCTACAGTCAGTGATTTCTAATCCAGTGACCTCTCTGGCGTGAGTTCGATCCCCGGGAGATGCTTTGGTAGTTTAGCACGGAGGAAGGTAGTCTAGTACTGGTGTAACTCTCCAGAAACCATGGTTAGGAAACTACCTGCCTATATGACTGAAATACTGTTGGGAAAAGGCGTAAAATAAAACAAACAAACAAACAAAACTATCTATCTCGGTTGTTTATTTTTCAATATTAAATCCATGTAAGCACCAGATATCAGGTCAGACTCCTGTATGTCTAGTTTTGTCATCAGATCATTAGCGATAGCTTGTCCCTCTTCTACACTCTGTCCGTCTTTCATTACTACCTGTTAAATCATAATAACAGCTTTAAATATAAATGAAGTCATATTGCACAAAGCTGTTCTGTTGTAGTACGGCATTATCATGGCAGTTGTATCCATTGATTCCTTGAATTTATTAAAATACATACAGTAATGTTTAATCAGAAAAATGTTCAAAATCACATTTTATAATTCAAAATAAGTCGGAGTCCAATTCAGTTACAATTTTATAAGAACAGACATTTTTATACATAAATATCAATAGGGTATATGACCTAAAAATTTTAATACATGTACATAATGGTACACATGTTGCATTTCTATAACGTAAAATTACAAAGTTCAGTCATATACTCCTTTACAAAAGCTACCATCTGTGGTATATATAATGTGTACTTGTTGCGTACATGCTGTGAGAGAAGTATGTTTTATATACACAAAATGCGGTGACCGTGTATACCGCACAATGATTGGTAGTTCTGAAAGTACAGCTGATGTACACAATATTTTACCCATGCGGCTAGTGCAGACCAAGATCAGCAGGCACATCCGTGCCGTCATATCATGGTATGCACTGCTCGTTATTAAGTCAGTATATTTTTTGAAATTATCACAAAACATGAAAAGTCCATTGAAGATATTAAGCGTGACTTCATACCTCTAGTTCCATGTAGTTTCCAAGTCCTTCAACATTGTCTACATGTACACGTGTTTGGCCGACCAGGTAAAGTAACCGTGTTTTCTTTACTTTTCCCTTCACCCCAAGTGCTGACTGTAGAGTTGTCTACAATGGAAATAAAATATAAAGTAAAAAATGTATAGATACTACAATAGATTGTTGTACTAAAACTTGGTATGATAATATCATTAATGTAAGTACACTTGTAGATGGCAACGTTATTTGTTATTTAAAAGTAGTGCGTTGTTTTTCAATACTGTAGAACCTTTGCTGCAAAACATGTAGTGTCAATTTAAAATTTACAAATATTTGTATGTAGTTTTCTAGAATAGTGGACATGTTGATAAATGTGAGGTAAATACATTGTGTTAATTTAGTAAATGTTTCACTTTTTATTATCTCTCATAAACAAACTCGATCATTCCCAGTCTGAAATGTTCATGTATCCAGATTTTTTTTCAAGTGCCGTATAAAAGCCTTCATCCCATTGTTGATAAATTTTCTGTTGCTTCAGCAGTTAGTGTGAATAACGCTTAGGTTTGTGCTCGCGCATAAGAGACGTTGCACTTTTTTCTTTACTGTATCAAACAGAGTTTGTACTTTTTAAGTATTTTTGTTATTTTCATTGTTTCCGAGGGCTCCCTCCTTTTCCAGATTTTTGACTAGCATATGTTTAAGCAACATGTTTGAATCAGTTTTCATTATGATGCAACATGGATAAACCAGCATGCTTTTTGTAAAACGGTGCCTCAGAGAAACTATTGAAACTTTACCTCTAAACTATCTGGGTCATCAGTATGAAAGAAATTATAGTCGGAGGATTTTGGACCGCTCTCATCGCTTCTCTTATAGAAGATCAGCTGTGACTGTTGACCCTGGAACAGTATAATAATCCTGTTATCATGGTAACATTAGCATGTTCTAATTTACTCATATACAATACTGGAAAAATCTAAACCAATATTTTGCAGAAAGTTTTAACAATTATTAAAAAAGCAATAATGTTTATTTTTCCTTTTTCCTTCATGTGACTGTTTCTACTTCTGCAGTACTGATCATAAGATGACGACGATGATGATGATGATGTTGTTAATGATGATGATAATGTTGTAGATGTTGTTGATGATGATGATGATGATGATGAAGATGATGAAGCGAGTGTATGTTTCAAAACGTCTTACCAAGCGTTAATTTTTTTCCGTTTGGCAAGACCGGCAACGTTCAATTTCTCTCTATATGGTAGAATTCCATTTAGTTTATACATGTATATCATATTGTCAAAAACTAAGGAGTAGAAATAATAGCATTATATAAAAAATCAAACAGAAAGAAAAAAAAAGCACCTTTAATTTTCTCAACTTCAGCCGACCATTCTGGGCATAGAAAAAAGTGTCTTCCTGTTCTATAATTGTTGGTTCACCACCACTCAACTGAGCTGCAACTTTCTTGAGTTGTTCTACATCTTTGACCTTGGCCTTTATCTCAACATTTGACGGCATTGTATCCTGAAATAAAACAAGTAATAACACATTTCATTATCTAAACGAGCAAACCTATCAGACGTTGAACAGCGTGCTCGACTTTTTTCAGTGTTCGATGGTAAAACAAGACTACGTGTATATGTAGTGTAATAGTTTCTAAAATCTAAAAGTTCACAAAAGGGTATATTACACTGGAAATTCAAAATTATGATACAAGAAGACACGTAAGAAGTTAAGTGAATGCCTCCACTGGTTAATGAGATAGGAGTTTACAAACAAAACATCAACCAGGTAGGCCTGAGTGACGCCATCTGGATCGAGTAAGATGGTCAACGAATTCAAAATGTGTTCGTTTTGCGGCAGTATTTTCACATTTATGAACAAACAAAATCAATGTTTAAAGTAATTGAGAAACATTGTTCTCATGAATTGTAGAACTCAATATTTGCTGGTTTAGCAACGAAATCTTATGTAAATGGTTTCATGCCCATGACGATAACCATTTATGTACAGACTCAATCAAACCGAGTCTGCAATTTTCATGTAATTGTTTCCGAGGGATGACTTTGTTTCCAGATTTTTATATGTCACTATATATAAAAAATAAAGTATAGATTCGTAAAACGAATAAATCAAGAATTGAAAACATTTCAACATGTATTATAATGTTAATGTTTGTCTCCCTTTTATTTATTATTTTTCCACATCAGATCATATAGCAATGTCTACATTGAGGAACTTTCTGTACATTGCGAAAAAATATGCCATCTTATACTAAAGGCTTAAGCAGGTGTTGGAAGGTATCGTAGTAGACTTTCTATAAAGATTTCAATATTTTAAGTCTATATAAAAATACGCACGACGGACATCATCTTATCACAGTAGCTAGCACTTTGTGCTCGGATATGCTAAACGCGCCTGAATTTTTTAAACGTTTTGTTTAATCCTGTAGGATTACTAATTCCAATACTTTTACTGTTGTAAAAATAATATGATAATATCATTAAGTTTACGGTCTATCGAGTTTGCTCGTGTTGAGCTTTCCAAAGCTATCATTTCAATCAATTATGATTCAATTTAAGACTGTTTATGTTGGTACCTTATATTCACTTGGAGGACCAGCAAAATTACATCTTATTTCTTACAAAAGTCTCAATCATTATTATTATTAAAATATAATTCATAATTATCTAAAAGTCCTCAGTTTTAAAATGTCGCGCACAATTTAATTTCTGCCGTCTGGTAGAACATATAAATCATGTTTATCACTGATAAAAATACGCGATAACTTAAAAATAGCACACACTGTTTAAAACCGAAACTATTGGGAATTACAGGTTTAATAAAGGAAAAAAAAATAACAATACGTACTGAGGTATGTTATTATTTTTCACTGTCACTAATATACAATTTATTAAATCATTAATGAGTTCAATGAACCATGATAAATCAAAATTCAAAACGAATGATCAATTCAGACATGTTATGTGTTTATTATGTTAAAAAACATAACTTCCCGCTATAAGTCTAAGTCAATATATATAGTGGTTCATTAAAAATAATGTATTTTAATCAAAGTCGCTTGTAGCAATCTATAGGTGATTCATCTCTATTCATTGCGTGACCTACGAGACTTATATAATGAAGTTTAAAATCGAAAAGTCTTTTTCAAAGTCTAAAAGTTTTCATGTAAATAGTTTATTTATAAGCAAGCAACAATTACTGTTACGGAAACTGTAAAGTTTGAGCCTTATTTGTAGTTAACCACGGTAACCATGATACAAAAAACCACCATGCAAGTATATATATATATATAATTGGGTCCATTATTTTAGTTAGTTCCTACTACTGTACAGTACCACAGATAAATTGGCTCAATGATACTACTTTTAGTTCGATTGTGTTGGATCATATCTAAATCTCTGTACATACTGAACACCAATAAATCAGGTGAAAAATCACATTACCTACAAAATGGGTCAATTAGAATATAGATCTAAAAGCCTTCATTTATCTGTGAAAAATAACTTGAAATTCAATAGAGAAAATAATAGTTTTTTTTTTATTCCTACTCACTTTTAGATTGGCTACCCTTTGTCATGTATAACTAAACTTAAATGTACTTATGCCTTTACATGACATCCAGTATTAGAAATCTATATTAAAATTAAAAATCAAATATATATCGAGCATGTAAAAGTATTTTTCTTAATTTGGGCCGTATTGACTTGAAGCCGAGTTGACTTAGGGCCGGGAATAAGACGCTTAGTGTATTGAGAAATCTTTTGTATTTATTTACATTTATGTATACATAACAAGTCATCAAATAACATAATGGATTCGGTTGTATCAAATCAAAAAGTTACCCATAACAGAAACACCATACCAAAATTAAACTTTGTTTCGTTGTTTTTGAATTCGTCTTGATTCCCTCTCAGTTGAATCATTGGTTAAAATTTGTCGGCGGATCACTACATGTGAGAGAAAAAATATAAGTACGCGAATAAACAAACGACATCTAATTTCATAATACCATTCATAGTTTGCCACAATAATGTGTTGAATAAAAGGCATATCTAAATCAAATGCGACTGTGTATTGTATTTACCAAGAAATCATAAAATAATACTCGCACTATTTACCGCGTAAGAAAATTAGCGGCGCTGCACGCATCCGAAATTACCCAAATATCACTAAGGAAAGTACAGGTATATTTCTGTATTACTACATAATATTCAATAATGTTTCTGGTGTCAATCGAAAGAATGTTGTTTAAGTAACTAATCTGGCTCACCGTTTTTTGCATCAAAGTGGTACATGCGGCATTTCCAAGAAAAAAAATCTAGGGTCATAGGAATTTTTTCATAGACGGTGTTTAGGTAAATAAAACATCAGTCAGATTGTCCCATCAGCTTTTTCTTTGTTAAATCTTTAATGAGCATCGGCATAATAATTTATGAAATTAAGTAAAAATCCCAGATTCTTAAGTGTAGATGTCATGTTGAAATATAGATTAAATTTTAATGACCATGTAAAATTTACAACAAGTAGAGCACATGCCATTCAAAACTCAAATGAAATGTTCAGATTTGCTTTTGTAATTAGATCTAGCCACATAAAGAAGTGTGAAAAATAATGTTTGACGCTGTACTATCATCTAAATCATGAAATGCCAAGCAATAATTCCTTCTCTGTTTTAGTTCAATACTCGAGGTGAATAAAGATGGGGATAGAAAGTGGTGGATCGCGTCATGCTCCATCTACAGGAATGACAGCTACACAGTTGTGCGAAAATGATGATCTAGCAAATACTGTCTGCTTAGATGCCTACCTTGGATTCAAGACTCATAAAATGGATTTGAGGTAATGATTAAGTGTTAAGAATGGGAAACAGACAAAAGCCCTCCCGGACAAAAGCAGTCCTGTCAAAAAATGACAAGGTGGACAAAAGTCCTCCCGTGAAAATGACAGGGCGGACAAAAGCCCTCCCGTGAAAATGACAGGGCGGCCAAGAGCCCTCCCATGGAAGTAACTGGGTGGACAAAAGCCCTCCCGTGAAATTAACAAGCACACATAGTGTAAAGCCCTCCCGTAACAAAAATTTATAAATATGTACATGTATGTTGAATACCTGTGTTTTTGTCAATCGCTCAACATATTAAAATTGTTACATATATTTCTTGTTGTGTTCAATTGGCCTAAGTATGTGTATAAGCTAGAACCACCTTTTATTCTGAATATACCTTCCTGAAATGTTGTCGTTAAAAACAAAGTCACTTTTAAAAGTAATTGACTCATTACAAGGTGCATTATAAATGTCTTTAACTGTTAAGTTTGATAATTCTAACTTTCTTTTCATCATTTATTACTCTATTAATCTTAACTTCACATAGGAGCAATCCTTCATATCTACGTGAATAGTTAATATGCACTTACAGATTTTAGCACTAATTATTCAGATGTCTCTCAGGAATGTGCTCAAGCTCATACAAACACGCTTATGCCAATGGAAAACAAAAATATTAATGATTACAATTTTAATATGTTGAGTGCATTGAAAAGAAAATATAAACTTTTCAACTTACGTATATGTATTTGCTGCGGGTGGGCTTTTGTCCGCCCTATTATTTTCACGGGAGGGCTTTTGTCCGCCAACTTACGGGAGGGCTTTTGTCCGCCCTGTCATTTTCATGGGAGGGCTTTTGTCCGCCTTTTCATTTTCACGGGAGGGCTTTTGTCCGCCTTGTCCCTTTTTGACGGGAGGGCTTTTGTCCTACACTCGTTTTATTAATTAAAACACTACATACAAATGGATGTCACAAGTATGAGTCTCAACATATCATGAAAAAAATGAGTTGTAACCCAGCTGTTAATTCCGAGATAATAACAGGGAAGTTGGCTTGGATTTTCAAACCCTAATAAAGGCACTATCCCACAAACTTTGACAAAGACAAGCAAATGATTAGAGGTGCAACGATACCTTTCGATGCATCGAAAACCGGTTTAATGAGCGCCGATTCGATTCCCGATACCAACTGTAACATTTTCGATTCGATTCCCCACCCAAAAATAAACATGGAAAAAGTGAGAGTTTTAGTCTTCCCCTTCGCGCTTTATCACGTTACATACGATTGGCCAGTTAAAACTCGGTCATCCAATCAGTGGGCGCGTAATGTTTTATTTTCGGCAAACAAGTCAAAATGGCTACCAACATCAATGTTGATAAAATAAAATTAAAAAATTCTCCTAAAAAATCAAAATGAAAGGTTTGGGAACACTTTGGGTTTCGGGAAGGCCAGGACACGGATAAAGCTACTTGTAAAATATGCTTTACGGACGTGTCTGACACGTCCGTCATATCCAAAGTCCGGCAGTACGTCTAATTTTATGCAACATATGAAACGAAAACACGATGTGGACTTGTTTGGTAAGCTTTATCCGTGTCCTGGCCTTCCCGAAATAAGTTTGATTAGTAATACAGTAAGTAGGCATATTTGACATTGGGATTGATTATTATTTCTTTAGTCAAGTGTGAAAAAAGTGATAATTTCACGAATTTCATTTTTCTGTATTGTTTACTAGACTAAGAAGTATTGTGTGACAACACTGACATTAGGACTGATTATTCATTTTACATTTTATGGGAATTATAATTAGAATATCTGAATATTCATTTACATATTATAGGAATTATAAACAGAATATCTGAATATCAGTTCTGACAACCTTGTGAGTCTATTATTTACTTTACAATTTAAATACTTTGTTAAATTCCTAGTCAGCAGAAGGTATCTGTGATAGTCATGTTACTGAGATAAATGATTATTTGCCTGATTAAAATTATTTTCCAAATAGACAAGAGCTTTTTATTCTCATAAACACAATTATTAAGTCAAATAAGTTTATATAATAGTTATATCACAACAGAAAAGCAAAGCACTAGGTTGAAGGCCACTCACTTTTGGAGCAGACAAGCAGAATTATATACCAAAGATAAATTAGTAATCAGAAATGTATCGAATCGAAAAAAATCGAATCGGAGTGTCTAAAATCGAAATCGAATCGAATCGAACATTTGGTGTATCGTTGCAGCCCTACAAATGATAAAACCCCTGCACTGAAAGTTGACATATTCGGTGATATTCCCTTGTTTTTGTGCCAAAATAAAATCATCACATTGACTTGACTGTGCAGGGACACAATGTAATTACATATTGATGCAGGAATCTGAGCTCATTTGATTTCCCTGTCAATCCAAAAATTTATTCATAAATCTTGTTAATATGACAATTTTATATATGAAATTATTAACACTTGTTTACTGTAGGTATCAACCCCCAAAGAAAAAGCACATGGAAGAGTGTAAGACTATAATGGAACGTTTTATAAAACACCAACAGTATGATAAAGGCTATAGAGAATTACTGTCAGTGGATATTGTACGTACATTTCTTACAGATAAAGATGATCATGAACAAGATATTTTCAAAGAACATGTAAGTAACTGTGACTCAAATGTTTGTATAAGAATTATTTTGCAAATTGACAATTTGAAATGTAAACATTTTGAAAGTTTTTTTTTATGATCTTCTTGAATGTTAAATGATGGGAGATAACTTTTAGTAAAAGATTTGCAGGGTAACAAGCTTATATTCTAATATAAATAAGTCTACTCATTATCCTTGAGCAAGTTACTTTACAGTCATTGCTCAGTACTGGTAGATTAAATTTAATGGATGCTCATTATGACAGATTCAGTTTCAGAACAATATTCTTTTTGCTTACAGATATACCGTTACTTCAAGATGTTTGATAAGAATTCAGGCTTCAAGATTATGACATGTGATCGTTATGCAATGGAGGGGCATCTTGGGGGAAAGATTTGTGCTACAAAAGACTGGTAAAATCATATAAATTTGAGGAAACTAGCAGCTCATTTTAGAAACTTGCCTTTATTGATAATCTTTTTTTTAAGCCATTATAGGTTGTAATAGCCAATGTGGTATTCTCAACCATGCAGAGATATTATAAATTTTAAGCTTTACATCATTTTTTCATGTATTTCCAGTAAAGTAGCAGTTCTTGTATGTATGAATTACATTTAAATATGAGTCCTACTTCTGACAGTGAAAGAATTTCCCTTTGTAAGACACTGGTGACTTAATTAGTATCTGATGATTCTCCATCCAAAATCATTGCCTCAATGTTTTTTCTGTGTTACAAAATTTCAAGAGATGGCTACTAAATTAAGGACTAAAGAAACTAAATAAATGAATAATCCTCATATGATGATTGTCTATGTCTTTAAAACTTCAAAAGTATTTCTTATTGATAATGTATTAGTAATTGTTTATACAGGAAGAAACATGACAAGATTGAGATGTTGATTGGTTGTATTGCTGAGCTGACAGAGCAAGAGGAGAGGGAACTACTTTCAAGTGGCGAGAATGACTTCAGTGTAATGTTCTCTTGTCGTAAAAATTGTGCACAGCTATGGCTAGGACCTGCATCATTTATTAACCATGACTGTCGGGCAAATTGCAAGGTTTGTGGTTCAAAAATATTGGAGAATATCTTTCTATACATGTCAATCAAAATTTATTTTCATGAGAAAAACAGAATCAGAAACATTTCCCACTCCCTATGGCAATCCATATAAAAAGGGACAAAATTTGTTCATAAAAGCAATCTACCACATCATGCCATGAATCAAGATTCCAACTTGTGTTTGATAATGTATTAAATGCTATTGATCTTCAATTGACAAGTCTAGATGGTTGCTATGTGACATTATTTATGTTAATTTGACTTAACGCCCTAACTGATAGCCTCTGATGTAAAGTATTTATGGTTTCTGACTTCAAGTCACTTTTCCCATAAAAGCTGTTGATTTAATCCTACCATTTAATTCTTTTATGTGAGGAATCTATCTAGAAGACCATTGTCAAGTTAGTGGTTCTACTTAAATGCTGGTACATGCCTGAAATAATGGTGGAAACAATAATTTATAATACAGTTTACATCCCTATGAATAATAAGTCTACCATGTTTATACATTGTTTGAATTCAAATTAAAAATTCCATGTTTTATCTATTTCATTGAGTGTAATGTAAAGGAGAATATTTACAGTTTGTATCAACTGGGCGGGACACAGCGTGTGTGAAGACGCTACGTGACATCAAGGAAGGGGAAGAGATCACATGTTTCTATGGTGAAGATTTCTTTGGTGACAGCAACTCTCTATGTGAATGTGAAACTTGTGAAAGGTAAATTTTCTTGCAATAGGGGCATAGAAGTGTAGCCTAATAGCTCCTTTTTCGCTACGTTTTTTCAGCTCACCTGAGCAGCTTGTACACTGAGATGAGCTTTTGTGATGGCAGCGTGTCCGTCGCTGTCAACAAATTTCTATGAACAACATCTCCTCCAAAACCACTTTAAGGATTTAAACAAAACTTTACAGAAATGTTCCTTTGGTTGCCTTTAAAATAGACTTTAAAAATGATATATTTAAAAATCTTTTGAAAAATTACAATTCCAATTCCAAGAGCTAAGTATTTGGTATGTAGCATCACCTTGTGGTCCTCTACAATTTACATAAAAGTGCTCCCCAAGGTCAAATAAGCCCTGCTCTAAGGGTCAATAGTCATTTAGTTTCCATAGACTTATATAGGAAAATACATTTAAGTCCTCTTTTATGACAGTAAAGCTTTAGATATTTGGCTTGTAGCATTGGCAAATGGGACCCTAGTGTCAAAAAATGGCTGCACCCTGGTCACTAAATTCATATAGACTTGTATAGTAAAATTAACTTAAAAGACTTCTCATCAGAAACTACAAATCAATGCCTATAAATTAGATATTTGGCATGTAGGATCACCTTGTGGTCTTCTACAAAATTTATATAAATCATGTCCCTAGGGTCAAAATTGGCTCTGCACCCGGGTAACTTAGTTTATATTAAGAGGATATTTTTTCGTTTGCGTGAAATATGGAATATATTTTCAAGAAACATGATAAAATGCCACATATTTTCACGAGCCGGTATGGCGAGTGAAAATATGTGGCATTTTATCATGTTGAGTGAAAATATATACCATATTTCACGAAAAAATAACCTTTTTATTTAATTTCATTATCAAAGAAAATGGTATCGAATCCCCTTGCTTGCTACCAACTGCAATTGTACAGCGCGCACTAATTTATGCGTAAGCACGGACTGTTTGGCGCATTTTCTTAGTTTAGACCATTTTCTTCATGCTAGATAGTTTTTTCAAAACAAAATTCAAGAAAAAGTTGTTTTGTATTTATCAGATTTGTTCAAACAAAACGGCGAAAGAAAGTCCCTTAAAAAAATATTGAGTTTTTGACTCCGCCCCCACTTTCATATTTATATTTCATTATTTTATTTTTAAAAAATATGAAATATATTTGACTGATATAGCACCATATTTCATGGGTAAAACTTAAATAAAGACTGTAATTGGAAAAATAAATTTCAGTCTATTTTGTGAACCTACAATGCCGAAGCTTAGATATTTGGCTTGTTGCATTGCCTTGTAGACCTCTACAAATGTTACATAAGTCATGACTATGGGGTAAAAAATGGCCCGGCCTTGTGGGCCAATCACTGTATCGTAAACATGTCTCAAAAGTTGAAAACTCTTCTTTTTTAAAAGAACAATTGACTTTTCTTTTTTAAAAGAACAATTGACTTTTCTTTTTTAAAAGAACAATGCCCAGAGATTAAGTATTTTAAATCCCCTTCTGTGTAGCAGGGAGGGGATTATAGGAATGGCCTCTGTCTGTCAGTCCATCTGTTACACTTTCTTGTTTGCTACACAATTTTTAAACTGCTGAAAATTGTAACAATAAACTTCCAAGGAAAAAGGAAATCAAAGACATTTATTTTCTTCAAATGCTGCTTTTCAGTTAATTAATTAGGGCTAAGTTATGGGATTTTAGACCAAGTCTTCTATAAAAGACTTTTATAGACTTAAGCTTCCTTTATTATTCACTCACTAAAATATGCCAGTGGCTAAAAAAAATGACCCAGTAACTTTTAAGCTGAACAGGTTTTTTTTTAAACAGTTCGCTTTCTGTTATTATCCAGTCCCACCTAAGTTTTCCTCCATCAATAGAGCTGGATAGTAATTGTATAACCTACAAAGAGTGACATAAAATCCAACTGAACTAAAATGATTTGTATTCTTTGACTGAATTATACAGACAAATCTTGTATTTGACTATTTCTCTGCTTTGTTCAGTTTTATACTCATTAAAAGTTTGGGAACACTTGCTAAGTCCTACCACTTGACCCTCACTGCTGTTGGTTCGAATCCTGACAGGGACTTTTGATTCTTTCATGTAAGGAAACTATCCAGCTAGCTTGCGAAAAGTCGGTGGTTCTACTCAGGTGCCCGTTCCTGCGTGAAATAATGCACGGAAGGGCACCTGACGTCTTCCTCCACCAGTAAAGCTGGAACGTCGCCATATGACCTGTACTGTGTCGGTGTGACGTAAAACTCAATCAAACAAACAAACAAACCAAAAGTTGCTAAGTTCTAATTAGATTATTACTTAACAAACAATTATGCTCAACAATGCAATTAATTTTATATATCTTATAGGAGGCATATGGGAGCATTCACCAAAGCAGATCCTACGAGCCCGAAGATGGACAAGGGGTACAGGTTGAGGGACACGGATGATCGACTTCACAGAATGAAGACCCAAGCAGCAAAGCACAGATCTGACTTTGTTCATGTTAATGGAGTAGTTGGCAGTAATGGTAAGTTCCAAGACATGTTAGGTATTTTTCTTTCTATTTCAACTATTAGTCAAATTCCCAATGCTACACTTAGGGTTATTTGTCACAGATACAAAGAATTATTACAAAATCACAGCTAGAAATATGTTCATAAAAAGTTGTATTATTTTTTCTTTCGCAAAAATATTGGCAATTATATATAAGAGTAAATATCAAGAATAAATTTTGTAAAGACAAACAAGTTGCATGTTATTAGTTTCAGTTATTTTACATACATTTTAAGTAATATTAAGATAAGAATAAATAATATTCAGGAAAGATATATTGATGTAAAACATTTTATATATTGGTGTTGAACACTAAACATAATCCCATTTTTGTTAGATTTTCCCATTTAACGAATTTGAGGCTCAAGTAAAGGGCAGGGATACTGGAAAAAAAATAATTATGCTTTCCTTCATAGAGTTACATATATGCTTACCTAAATACATTTCAAAGACTCTATCCAAGTAAGGAGTACAAGTTACATCCAGGCCCTTCTGTTTGAAAATAGTTTTGACTTAATTGATAGTAAATATATACAATGCTCAACGTTGTTGTTTTTTCTCTTCTGCATTTAGAAAATTGGGACATTCGAGATGGGAATCTGAAGAAGCAGGCACATCTGTTATCAAAAGCTGAGTTAAAGCGTAGAGGAATTACTCGTTATGATGCTGAAATTCTGTTAGCTCAAGGTATCAGCCTGCCAGAACCAAAGGTAAACCTTGGTGAGAAATTACCGTCACCAATAAGGAAAAATCAATCTGTGAAAGTGAGTGAGTTACGTTTATCACCACGGAAACATTTGTCATCCCAGTCGTATCTAAAGAGTTTGTCAGAGGGAGATGGTGATCCAAAGTTGTTGAAGGGACATTTGAACAATTTATCAAATGAACATGCCATGCAAGAAAACATTGTTTTCAATGGTAAGTCAGGGCCACTAGCTGACATAACAAGAAACAAACCACCAGGTGGTCAGAAAATTAGTATGCATGGAGGTAAAGCATTACATAGAAGTCGACCAGTGGTTCATAGACATTCTAGACATGGGAAAAGAACAAAAAAGCTCAGTCATAGAAGAGCATTGAAATTAGATTTAGACTGTATACCAAAATCTGTAGATGACTACAGACAATCAGGGTTACCATCATCAGGAACTAGACACAGTCCAAGATTTAAGATTAAAGAAGGGACACTGTCTAATGAAGATGATCATAATGACCAGTCTAATTCGAATCTCAAAGGTGAAACTAGTGTTATTGATACTGGGGACCCAGAGATCATCTTTAATGTACGATCAGAACCAGAGAGTAGGAATATTTTCACTCAACTTCAGATTGATGTAATGGAAAGTAGTATTGATTCAGACGATGAAAGTTTATCTGAAATTGCTCGAAAGAACAAATCAAAAGTTGAATTCAATAGTCCAATTGCAACACCTTGTGGCATGCCTCATTTGATACCATATGACTCAGAATCAACCTTTGATACCTCATTTCAAAATAGCAGGGTCAGTCCAAAACTGACATCATTTAAGACTAGTTCTGACAAGGAACAAATAAAAACTGATGCAAAATCAGGCAAAACAATGCAAAATATATGTGGAACAAAGTCATACTCATTACTATCAACAATCAATAAGAAACCACTTAGACAAAGTCCAAGGAACAGAAATAGAAGGTGGAACAGTAAGACTGAATCTGTTTCAGTAAATGGTACATGCACAACTGATATGAATGGATATAGTCAAGGGGAAATAATTGATAATCATGACTGTGATGAACATTCTAACAAATTCATTGATAATGCAAGGTCACAAGACATACAATCATCAAACTCACTATCTAAGAATTCAGGGGCTGGTTCACGTTTAGGCAGCAATGTTTTTGAAAAGTTTAGTCATTTTAGTGAACACTGTAACTCTACTGGTGATAATTATATAGGTGATGGAAATGAGAGTGAAGAAATAGATGTAGAGGGGTTAGGAGATAGTATGAAATCAACTAAACAATTGATATCTCTAAGGAAACAAAGTACATCTGCTAGAAGACGCAGTAGAAACTCTCCTAGGTTAAGTTATTTAAAAAATAGAAAACGTAGATTAAGTTTTGGGGATGTCAGTTCCCCCAAGTTCGGAGAGCCATTACGTAAGAAAATAAATGCCTTGAACGAGGATATGGCAGAGTACAGACATTTGTGGGCGTGTATATCACCACCGAAAAAAGTCCCTAAGATCACGATTAAAATGCCAAAAGATCCGGTGTTAGTGAAAGAACTTGAAAACTCAAAATCAGAAGGTGTACATTTTAAGCTAGAGAGTCCTCATAACTCAGTTACGGCCACAAACCTGAGTCTAGTGTTGATCAAAGTGATTCTGATGAAGAAGAGAGTCCGTTGATTTGTACCAAGTTTCGCCCATTCATTCCGGCAGCTTCTACAAAAAGACAATCACTGGGACGATCTTCAAGGTCTCTCTATAAAGACGGAGACAAACATGAAGATCTTGTTTGCCCAAAGTTGATGCGGATTAAATTTGGTGGAACACAGATTAATATAAATATACCACAAAAACATTAGGTTTCATTAACAATTAGACGTAGTACAATCCTTTGTATATAGGTAAAATATTACAGTATCAACTCCTTGTTGAATTAATTGTGATTTTAACTATCCAATGTGGAAGTATGTTATAAGAGGATTTTTTATTGTAATTAAATAGGAGAGTAGTCATTAAATCATTGAAGCTTCTAGAGAAAACAAGGAAATGCTCTTTATATAATGATTAATTATAACAAATATTCATTTGGTTGCTATGGTTACATATGCAGAATTTTCTGGGAGTAATAACTAACATACAATAATGAAAGTGATTGCCCAGAGATAAGCAGTATAATGAAAAAGGTTTTGAATCATAGCAAAGTTTCATTCATTATTTACTTTATTCACTAAGTTCTAGATGGCTGATTATAATATTGTAAAATGTTAAATTAAGTGACTTTTTTATTTCAAATATAATTTAAACAGGATGAGTTTGATTTTATTTTTAAATTTTTTATATGATGCAGACTTTGACTTTACCTTATGAATAAGGTTGTGCTTTTGGGAAAAATTACTTTTTCTTAAAAATTGGGATTAACTTGCCTGTACTTGACAGTTGTTTTTTGACAGTTGTTCTTTTGACAGCTGGACAATCATTACAATAGAGCCCTGTATTGATTTAACACCATTAACTAGTTTACCGTAGTTTATTTTGTGTTTATAGAATATTTATTGTTTAAAACATAATTATATTCTATTTTTATCTTTTTTATTTGGTTATAAATTAGATACTAATAAAATAATGAATTGTTTGGCAATGTTGTAAATATAAATTCAGCTGATGTTTTTATTTTCAGGCATATCTACATTGTCTAACAAGAATATTTAAGTATGTGAAATATAAGCTCTAGCTCTGTTAAACAGTGTTTTTAGCTCAGAGATGACTTTTTGTGATAGCATGATATGTCGTATAAGCCATGGGGTGTCTCTTTCTATCCACGCTTTCTTTAAACAAAGAATCACAAACAATGTGGTAGATTTTGTCCAAAGTCCACAAGATTGAATCTTAGGTGGCCCTCTTTAACAGAAATATCCGGCGCACAAGTCAGTCGTTGGAGCTAAAAAATAGACTAAAAAAGTAAATACTATTTCAGTAAATACAAAGCCCAGGACTTAGATATTTAGTTAAAACATATTTTATTTAAAACATTTTGCTCAAACAATAATGAAATAACATGATACAATGCTGAAATAGGATCAGATCCAAAAGCATAATGGACTTATAAAGGCTTTTTCCTGACATAAGATTAATTACCATAAATAAGACGGGTTTTTGAAAATGTTTGAAATATTGGATTTTTAAGTAGAATAAGTAATTGTTAATACTAGTAGATTTAAAAAAATAAAATTGAAAAAGATTCATCAGGAAGTTAAATTATAGACATTTGGCATGTAGCATCAGCTTGTGGTCACTTACAAAAAAATTCCATGTCCCCTGGGGTCAAATAGGCCCCACCCCGATGTTCATGTTGTTTATATAGATTGATATAGGGAAAAAAACATTTAAAACTTTGTGTGTGAAACTGCAGCTTAAATGTTTGACATGTCTTATTGTCAAATTATTCACTGCAAAAGTTATATTAGTATTTATCATGTCTCTTTGGTAAAAAAAGACCCACCATGGGAATCACATAGACTTAAATAGTAAATATTCTGATTTTTTTTCTTCTGAACTACAGTGCCCTGATCACTTGTTGTTGTTGCATCACCTTGTGGTCCTCTAAAAAAAGTTATATAAATTGTTAAGTGTCCATGGACTAGTATTGGAAAACACATCTAAAATAGAGAAAATAAGAATCCCTAAAGAAAGCCCAACACGGCAAAATTGAAAATGTTGCAGGCTCGGTTTGATTGAGCCTGTTCATGGACGGTACTGTCAAGTGCTAACTACCGTCCAGGCCCCTAGCACCAGCTTAAGCAGAATTCAACATTTAACATGAACTAGTAAAATTTAGAATTTTGAAACATCCACAGATGTGTTCATATGGCGGTTATCATGGAACCTTCAATGTGACGCGATAGTGCCATTCCATGAAAAGCGGCATATGGTCCCCAAGTAAAAAAATGCATGTGCCCTAAACGAGAAAACAATGGTCGGAACTTAATAAAATGGAATTTTGAAAGGTGATCTGAGGTTATGAAGCAGTCTTCATATCTAAAGTTACAATGTCTAGAGCTTATTTGACATGCTCTGTTGCATATTGGATTTCTTCAAAAATATGGCCTGACGTTAAAAACTATTTGTTTACAAACAAAAATCTTCTACTCACATACTACAATGCACTGAGCTTAGACATTTGTTTCCATCTCCTAGTGACCCATTATAAATATATTTATAATACTGCATGTTTGTAACCTCATTTTTCATTGGATAATCGTGACGTTTATATAGTTTTATATACAAGGCTGCTGTCGATTCATGAATAAATCTTACTTTTTTTCCCTAAAAATGATGCTTACTGTATTATAAATTCGTTATAAAGATTGTTGACAGGTTATACGGCCGTATATAAATGGCTGTTTGCAATAAGGGCTCGGATTATATTTACAAATAGTCATTTATATAGCGCCATATAACCCGTCAACGATCTTTATAACTAATAATATATATAAATTATGTTACTTGATTATAGAAAACAATACTAGTACTTCCAAATTATTGTGTGAAAAAAGTATTTTAGTATTTTTTCTAAAAGCAAATGACGCATGCACAAAATCATTGATAAATGGTAAAACCTCTATTTAAAACAGAAGCCAAATATTATGTTCTGGATCATTTTATTTTAATTACATACATATTTCAAGACATGTAAATAACAGAGAAATTCTTTAGTACAACTTTTTATGAATGTTATGGAAACAATATAATTTTACTGTAAATTTTTTTATAAAAATATTTCATAAGATATAGCTTTATACACTTGAGCAATAAGTCACATGTAAACAACACAAAATTTAGCTGATTAATAAATAATTTGGATCATAAATGGACTTAAATGTAAGCCACTATCTGTGAGTATGAACTAAAGAGTGATATCCCTTTAATGATATTGTAATATATAAACATTGCATGAATGTCTAGTGATGTCTAGGTTTTCAAACTGTTTCCTTCTTTTTTCCCCCCTTTTTTTGTTGTTTTAACATTTTGTTTACACATTGTCAGGAGTGATTTTGTAACTGTGTTTGTTAGGGTAACTTATTGTAAAATGATGGAAGTATAAGAATGTGTGACATGCATCATTACAACAATTACAATGTTAATAAAAGATTTTTTAACCTGAATAACACATTCTCTATGTAAACATACCTTAAAGGGACTCCACAGAGGGTTTTTGACATGGCGAGATCTTTTTTTTTCTTTCTTTTTTTTATTATTATAGATGTACATGTATTTGCTGTCTATCTTGACCAATAACTTGTCAATAACATTCAGATCATTCACTTGCTCTTTTTTACCTGAATAGTCATTTTAATTGTGAAATTGTCCCCAAAAATGAACAGTGTTATAACCCTTTTTAAAAATATGATTTCAGATATGATTGTTAGTATATTTCTTTTCATATTTTTCCGTTTCATATTCCCGACTTCATCTCTGTCAGAATTTAAAATTTTATATTCTTAGACTTTTGGACCTCAGTGGAGTTCCTTTAATTCAAAGTTTTGTTAAAGTGCTACACATACTCCTTTCATTTGTAAAGACATGAATATTTCATCTACAATTTACGGAAATGTTAACTAAGGGAGACTACTCTTATAGCTCAGTATATTTATTTTTATTTTTAAACTGAAAAGTGTTGATTGGTTAGTTGATCTGCTGAATGAAATAATAATAATACAATAAATTTGTTGTTACAGTATTGTTGATATTATTGTTAAAATCATAAATAAATTATTGTACATGTTCTTGTTTTAACTTTGCTATTTTCATTTTTTCCACTTTCATATATACATGTATTTTAAAGCTATATAGACAGATTATGTAAAATTTTTCAAAATGGACCATTATGGTATTTTCAGACAATATATGTTTGATACTGAGATGTAATGTACAACAGTTATGGGTTGGGGAGCATAAAGTCATATTGTATAAGTAACGACTTATATCACTGGATAATTTATGTAAAGTTATTTTATTCCTTCTAGAATCCTGCATATTAGTGGACTATGACAATTGTTGTTGCCTTGGATTAAACCCCAAATGCTGGTGTCCATAATGACTTCATAGCCTAGTGAGTGAAGGAGCTTTACTTCAAACTGAGTTGATGATCAGAAACGGGCTCCAGACATCTGTCTGTCCGTCACATTTTACATTTTCGTGTTCGGTCCATAACTATGTCATTTATCAAAGGAATTTGAAATTACTTGGCACAAATGTTTGTTATAATAAGACAATGTGTTATGCACAACAATTGGAATCCTACCTTCAAGGTCAAGGTCACACTTGGTGATTAAAGGTCAACATTTTTTGTCTATTGTGGGTGTACCATAACTTTCTTATCCATGAAGGGATTTTGACAGAACATTAATAATGAGACAATGTGTCATGCACAAAAACCAGTCGCCTATCTTCAAGGTCACAGTTGGAGGTCAAAGATTAACATAGTCTGCTACAGGGTATATTTTGTTTCCAGTGCACTTTGTCATCCATCAAGGGATTTTGAAAATACTTGGCATAAATGTCGACAATAATGAGACAATATGTCATGCACAACACCAGGACCCATTCTCAAAGATCAAGTCTACACTTAGAGGTCAAAGCTTAACAGGTATATTTTGTGTGCAGTCCATAATGTTTGTATT